AGAACTGGGGCTGGAGTAGCCGGGAGCTCCCAGGCAGGAGGAACGTGACCCCTCTAACGCTTTCCTTCAGACTCGCTGGCCTCGGGGGATGATGATGAAGACAGCGACGGGGACGGTTCCCTCGGTGATTCAAACGAGGAGCCCACTTACCGCAGAGGTCAGTCCCGGGGCAGCTGCCTGCAGCAGGGGCTGTGCCCCCAGCTCTGCTGGAGCAAGAGGCGAGGGAAAAGAGGTTTGGTGCCGGGTCACTCGAGCTGCCAGGAGTGCAGGGCACCCTGCCCATACGCCTCTTCCTCTGTAGGCCACTCCCATCAGCCCCCACGTGCTTGGCAGCCTCTGTGTCCCCCATGGCAGGCGGCTGAACGGGGCCGGGTCCCCCCCGGCCTGTGCCCAGCTCACGGGGTTCCCGGGCTAAGCTCTGTTCCGGGGCAGAGGGCAGTGCTGGGGGAGCGCTGCCGCACCTCCGGGATGGCTTTGCAAGCCCCTTCCTTGCTGCCCCAGCGTTCGATACAGGGGAGCTTTGGAGGAGCTGGTTGTGAGGACCGGCTGGGTCCCTGCCTCGCCGCGGGAGGGGCTGGGTCCCTGGGCACAGCTCCATGCACACTGCGAGCCCTGGTACTTGGCATTGGGAGCTTCTCCCGACCCTGTAGCTAGTGGCCGTCAATCGTGCAATGTCCTCCTCAGCCCCGTATTGGACGCAGCCGCAGCGGATGGATAAGAAGCTGTACGCCGTCCCTGCGGGAAACACGGTCAAGTTCCGCTGTCCGGCCTCAGGGAGTCCCAACCCCAGCATCCGCTGGCTAAAGAACGGGCGGGAGTTCCGGGGCGAGCACCGCATCGGCGGCATCCGGGTAAGAGTGCTCCCAGGGCGCCGATCGGCGCTCAGTCGCCTCTGCCCCAGCCCCCTCCGGGTCTCCGTCTGCCCTGGCTGAGATCAGAGCCGTCCTGTAACCAGGCACTGCCTCTGGGATAAGGGGAATGCTTCTGCCTGCCAGCTCCAGGGGGGCACTGCGGGCTGTAGCTGGGGAGCTCTGCTGGGCACCGGGTGCCATCTGCCTCCCTTCACCTGGTGCTTGTCCCCTTCTCTCCGCAGCTCCGGCCCCAGCACTGGAGCTTGGTCATGGAGAGCGTGGTGCCCTCCGACCGGGGGAACTACACCTGCCTGGTGGAGAACCAGGCTGGCAGAATCCGCTACAGCTACTTGCTGGACGTGTTAGGTGAGGCCTTTCCCTGCGCCGGGGGGCGCAGACACTGACTCCAGGGTTCCCCAGTCAAGCCCTGCCTGGCGCAGACCCTGGGGGCTGTGCTAATGAGGGGTCTGTGTCCCGGTCGGGGGCCGTCCCCAGGCAGCCTGGGAGCAGAGCAGAGCAGACTCCTGGGCGCAGGGTCACTGATCCCGAAGCTTCACAGCGCTTTGGAGATCATCCGGGTCCTGGCATCAAATGGATGCAACTAGCCCCCAGCCGGGACCTGCCTCCCGCCCCTCTCTGCCCCTCCTCTTCTGGCTGCTGCAGGCCTGGAGGAATTCCCACCGGGCTGCGGTGCTGGGTAATGGCAGAGGAGGGTCAGCAGCCACGTTCCCGGGGCGAGGAGGGACAGGCAGGCAAGAGACACTCTGGCCTGAGCATCGCGCTGAGCGAGCAGCGGGAGGGAAGGCGGTGGCCGGGTGTGGCAGTGGGAGAGCTTGGGGGGGAAGGGGATGAGTTAGAGAGAGGCTGTGACCGCCCCCGGCCACGGAGGGAGCTGGTGACACAAACCAGGTGCCCTGCCTGCCAGTGCCCTGCTCTGCCCACTTGGCCGGGGCCCCGGTCAGCGGTTGGCGCGTGCTGGGCGGAGTTGGCCCCGCTGCCGGGCTGGCTGCACTGGGCTGTCCAGCTGGGCGATGCTGCTCCCTCTTCCCTTCCGGCAGAGAGGTCCCCGCACAGGCCCATCCTGCAGGCCGGGCTGCCTGCCAACACCACAGCGGTGGTGGGCAGCGACGTGGAGTTCTTCTGCAAGGTGTACAGCGACGCCCAGCCCCACATCCAGTGGCTCAGGCACATCGAGGTGAATGGCAGCAGCTTCAGCCCCGATGGGGTGCCCTACGTCCAGGTGCTCAAGGTAATGGCCAGGCCAGCGGGGGCACCGTGCCCCCAGAGCAGCCCCTCCTGGGGCAGGCGCTGGCTCTCCAGGGCACGCGCTGCCCCCAGGCCCCGCTGGGACTTGACGCAGACTGGGGGGAGCAGTGGGAGGAGCCCCAGTCCTGGGGGCAGCAGGGTATTCTCCAGGGGTAGGGCCAAGCGCGGCAGGCTCAGCCTGGGTCCAGGGAGCTCAGCACCCCACCGCGATGGGAAGGAATCAGCTGCCGGCTGGGACCCCTGACGCTGCGGCTCTGCCCCCGCAGACAGCCGACATTAACAGCTCGGAGGTGGAGGTGCTGTACCTGCACAACGTCTCCAGGGAGGATGCTGGGGAATACACCTGCCTGGCCGGGAACTCCATCGGCCTGTCCTACCAGTCAGCCTGGCTCACCGTGCTGCCAGGTAAGGCTGGGGGGCTGGGAGCGCTCCGGCCAAGGCAGGGGCCCGAACTGCCGAGAACACGGGGAGGCCCCGTGGGGGCGGGGGCGGGACCGGGCCGGGCTCACTGGCTTCGCTCTCCAGCAGAGGAGCTGGTGCGGGAGGTGGAGGCCCCCGAGACCAAGTACACCGACATCATCATCTACACGTCGGGCTCCCTGGCCGTGGCCATGGCCGCCGTCATCGTGGTGCTGTGCCGGATGCAGACCCAGGCGAGCAAACAGCCCCTGGAGCCCGTGGCCGTTCACAAGCTCTCCAAGTTCCCGCTCATCAGACAGGTACGTCCGGGCAGAGGGAGGCTGCGGGCCCCCGGCGGGTCATGGACGCTCTGCGCTGGGCACAGCCGCCTGCTGAGTCTGCAGGGCCAGGGCCCGGCTGCAGTGTGTGCGGGCTACTGCCCGGCGCCGCGTCTGGCTGTGACCTCCCGCCGGGGCTACTGCCCAGCGCCGCGTCTGGCTGTGACCTCCGGCCGGGGCCGGGGCCGGGGCCCGGCGCCGCGTCTGGCTG